AGTGTTTCCTCATGGCAATGACACTCCTAAGATACCCTCATTGCTACAATTTGCTCCCCAGACTCCACCTTTTAATCTTACTACCTCTGTCCTAGTGACACCATAAACTGGGATCAAGTCTTCAGTAAACTGTACTTTGGGAAACATTACAGATTGAAGCTATAGCAACTGGTATTGAACAAATCTATGCCTTGCATATTCCCCACAGTGAATTCAAGAAACTGGACAGAGCTCCAGCAGCCCAATTGACTAGTGTCTGATTAGTTATAACATAACACTGGATACATTTTTTTTTAAATGTGTTAGAGATTGAACCTGGGTCTCTTACATGTTTAATATGTGCTCTACCACTGAGCTACACCCAACTCTTTGGACAAATGTTTTAAAATGGCAATCCCTACTAGAATGAGGCCTTGCCTACCCATCCCTCAAGTTCCTAGTCTTCTTGAGAACCCTGATCACAACCACATTCACTCTCTTTCCTCTCTCTTCCTGCTCTTTTTCTGTTCCCTTTACCCCATCCCACCCCCACCCACCCCCCTTTTTGCTCTTCATGCATAGTTTTCACATCTGCTTCAGGAAGCCATATGTTAATTCAAGTTCCATATTGTATGGCACCCAATGATATGCTTTGAGGGTCAGTACTTTCACATGTCCTGTGTCTTTTTCACTGAAGAACTGGTCACCAGTAATTCCTTCTCAGAGACCTTTGTGCCCTCAGAAAGTTTTAGATCCAGATTCACTGACTCCAAAGGAGGATGTGCTGCCTTTAAGGACCAGGGGTCCACAAAGGCTACCAGACAGTCTTGGATGCTTTGACAAAGGAAATGTGCTCGTTCATTTTCACATCAAAGAGGCAGGAACACTGGTTCCAGCAAAGAGTGGGACAAATGAATTGTTAACATCTTATTGTTCTATTGCTATGAAGAGATACTGATACAAAAAATGAAGGCATTTACATGGCAGCACACAGGCAGGCATGGTGCTGGAGAAGTAGCCAAGAGCTTCATCCTGATCCACAGAGACACTGGGCCTGCTATGGGATTTTAAAAGCCCACCACTCTCAGTAAAATACCTTCTCCTTCAAACCAGTTACTCAGAAAGGCCACACCTCCTAATCCTTCCCAGCAGTTCATTTCCTCGTGACCAGGCAGTCAAACATATGAGCCCATGGGAGTCATTCTCACTCAGAGACTAGAGACATCTGTTTCCACGATGATATAAACCCTTGCTTGAGAACAACTCCATCACCCAGGGTAATACAGAGTATTAACAAAGCATATAGCATGAGGCTCCTTTAGTTATTATTCTATTTTCTCTTGAATGAGGTCTTCCTTCCCTACAGCTTAGTATTTGACATCATAAAGGAACCTCCTACAACCCCTTGTAGACTCACAGAACAAAGAGCTCAACATTGTTTTTGGCAAGTAATCTCTTGTACCGAAATGTGAATCCACTGAGAGTTGCCAGGTAAGCTCTAGATTTACTGAATATGTTTTATGTCCCAGGCCTTTTGCCAAGTGTTGGGCCTTTAGAAATGAATAAACAGTCTCTGGTCTTCTGTTTATATCTATCAAGATATAAGTAGATACCCTTCAGTACTAGGTGATATGTGCAAGGGTGGGAGGTAGGTCTAAGTCCCCTTCAGCTCAGACAGAAGCTGGAAATACTTAAAGCAATAAGTAACTTCATAGGTAGCAGTTACTCAATGCTTCAAAAAATAAATGTACCTCCCACTGTTAGGATGTCTAACAATTTAAAACTTGTCAAAATGGAAAAAAAAAAAAAAAAAAAAAAAAAAAAAAAAAAAACCCGTAAGTCTAAAAATAGTTTACCAATATGAGAGAATATTTTTAAAGGTATTTTTCTACCTCTATGGTTTTCATAGAATGAGCTAAGCCTCTTTCCTTTTTTATTCCACCCGCCTTTAAATAATTAATTTCTGTTATACCTGTAACAGATGTCAGCTGGTTGTCAACCTTGAGATGGCACTGTATTTTAACATCAGCTTTTATCTATAATTGATGATACCTGTTGGGAATGTAATCAACTGAGAGATCATAAGCGATGGGAGTTGTGAATTCTGTGGTCTCACTGGATATTCTTTCACTTAGAGGAAGAAGTGAAACCTTAGCCTTTAAGTTCGTAGGCTGTCTACTCAAATTTCTGAAATTTGGTGTCATTGTCCTTCCTTTAAATGACTCATAATAAAAATATCTTGTTTAACTAGTATTTCTGATTGCTGAATGGTTACACAAGAGCCTGTAACAGCAGTGACCAGGCCAATTAGACAGCCTCTTAGTGTGAGAACAAAAGGGTTCATAAACATCTAACTCTAACAGTCCAACAAACATACTACATAAAAAATCAAAAAAAGGTTTTTTTGTTTATTTTTGAGTCAAGATCTCATATAGTCAGTGCTGGCCTTGATCCTCCTGCTTCCACCTCTCAAGTGCTGGGATTATGAGTGTGCATCATTATGAGCAACTACAGAAATTTTTGTTTGTTTTTGTTTTTTCAGGCAGGGTCTTTCTGTGTAGCAGACTGACCTGGAACTCTCTCTGCAGACCAGGCTGGCCTTGAACTCTGAGATGCACCTGCCTCTGCCACCATCACCTGACTAAGAAAAGATTAATTTTTAAAAATACTTTTTCAGACCCAGATTGGATGAATCTCTGGTATAATATAGGAAATTAAATGTATCACACAAAGTCTACATCACCCTCTAAAAACCATCAAGGTCCTAATAAAGTCTCTAAGCAGCTATGCTTAACCTAGCAGAAGTGGAGCAAAGATACTGATAAGTATTCAAACTATTGCTTAATCATTAAAGACTTTCTCTAAGCCAGCAGTGCTGACTCATGCCTTTAATCCCAGCAATGGGGAGTCAGAGACAGGTAGATCTCTGAGTCTGAGGTCAGTCTACAAAGAGAGTTGTAGGACATCTAGGACTACACAGAAAAACTATGTGTTGGTGGGGAGGAGGTCCTTCTCTGAAACTTATGTTCTAACAGTGGCATTTATCCTCTTCAACCTTCTTAGGTAACATTAAGCTGTTATTCTTCTACATTTCCCCCATTCTGGCTTAGTGGCATAATACAGTAACTGAACTAAAAGATAAAAACCATATAAAACTTATATTTCAAAACAAAAGCTAAACTATCTTTTCAGATTGTAGGGTTTTCATATAGTCTACCATTTCAGCTCTATTTTCATGCTTAGGCTCATTACTTAATATGCATAGGCATTATACTTAATATGTTGATCTGACAGCTTTAAGAAATGTCACATAAATCCCATTTTTTCTTTTAAAGTGGTTTTTGAGACAAGGTCTCACTATGTAGCCCTGGTTGGCCTTGAACTCACAGAGACCTGTCTGCATCTGTCTCCCAAGTGCTGGGAGTTTTTAATTAAAAAAAGAGACAAAGAGTTAATCTCTCCTAAGAGAAACATAAGGAAAGAGGAAGCAGATAAACACACTAGGAACAATTAGATCTCTACTACTATAACAACAACACAGCTTTAAAGCAAAGGTGTCCTGCAGTATCCAAGGGAGGTCCCAGGAACTTGTGGATATATCTCAGATGCTCAACTCTCTTATTCAAAGTGGTGTAGCTATTGTAAATGACCTGTGTACATCCTCCACACACTTTAAACCCTCTCAAGATTACACTATTTATAATACCCAAAAGAATGTAAAAATCTACTTAAAGAGTAAAGATGGGAATTTGCCTCTATGCTTATTAGCACAGAAGCATTTTCCCCCTTGAATAGTTTCAATTGTAGGTTGAACTGTTCACCATAGTAGTAAAAACCAATAGTAAAACTCTGAAAAGCTAGAGTAGTAAAACCAGTTAAAGAAACTAACACATTTAACTGTGTGATGATCTAAATGAGAGTGGGGAGGGGAAAAAGACTTCAGGATTATCCCAGATTGAGTATTTTGCTAATCAACAGAACTTTAAAAGGATATGCCTATGACAGACTGTTTTCCATTTGAGCTTGCAGGTAAAATTGCCAAGGCAAAATTTAGACCTGAGTTCTTTAGTGAAACTAAGAATTTGAGAAATCACAGACAGAAGAGCATATACCCTATCAAGTCAGTTAGAAGGCACCAGCTAACGCCTGCCCGCCTTTACTCCCAGCACTCTCGAGTTACAGACAGGTGGATTTCTGTGAGCTTGAGACCAGCTTGGTCTACAAAGTGAGTTCCAGGACAGACTCCAAAGACACAGAGAAACCCTGTCTCAAAAAAAAAAAAAAGAGAGAAAGAGAGAGAGAGAGAGAGAGAGAGAGAGAGAGAGAGAGAGAGAGAGAGAGAGAGGAGAGAGAGAGAAGGCACTAACCAATATTCCACCAAACTGCAAGATATCAGACCTGAATGCTTGTGGTCTTTCGAAAAAACTTTTAATTTTAAATTATGGAACCAAGCAAAAGGCAAAGCTGTAGACGAAACTTTTAAATGTGGGCGTTTGTTGTCAGATGGTCTGGATTTCAAACACAATTTCATTATGTAGATGCTATATAATTATTTCGTGAATTTACGTCAAAATGTAGAAAAAGCACAAAGAATCAAATATTCAGCCTCCAAACAACCAATCGCTCAGAAGCGACGGATTAGGGCTAAACTAGGTAACTTTTTTTATTTTTTCTTTTAGCTCAAACGGCTCACAAGTCACCTCAAATTCATAGCCGCTCCTTGAGTGGCGAGTTAAAACTCCATAGGGATCCGCATTCTAGTAAACACGTGGACTTTGGAACGCTACAATTCCCTTCAGAGGAGGCGCAGCCTTAAAAATAAAAATCAACCCAGCGCCGAAATAACAGGAAGCTCAGGTCAGACCGACCTGACTCCTCGACCTCAGTCTCCATAACCACAACAGGAAGTGTGCGCAAACAGAAAGGAAGACGGCAGCGCCCCAGCGCGCAGGCGCCGCGGCGGCACCCAGGGCGGCGCATGCGCCCACGTAGTCGCGCGCTGGGCCTAAGCCCCTCACTTTGTCGTCACAGGGCAGATGATCAGGGTGCGTCCGCCTTTTCCCTCCCCCTTCCATCCTCCTCCCCCTCCCCTCCCCTCGTCCCTCAATCTTCTCCCTCTTTCCTCTCTCTCCCTCCCTGGGCGGCTCCTGAAGACTCCGGCTTCCGGTCAGAGGCGGGCTGCAGAAGCGTGTCCCGCCTCTTCCGCCTCCCCGGTGGTGGCGCGGGTGGAGGCAGTGGCAGCAGCAGCGGCGCCTGCGCGTCTCCTGTCAGAGTCGGCAGGCTGGTCCCCTGGGAGGCCCAGCTGGACGCGGCCGAGCCGAAGCCCGGGGGCCGATGGCGATGAACTATAACGCGAAGGATGAGGTGGACGGCGGGCCCCCGTGCCCACCTGGGGGCGCTGCCAAGACCCGGAGGCCGGATAACACGGCCTTCAAACAGCAACGGCTACCCGCCTGGCAGCCAATCCTCACGGCCGGCACGGTGCTGCCTACCTTCTTCATCATCGGCCTCATCTTCATCCCCATTGGCATCGGCATCTTCGTTACCTCCAACAACATCCGTGAGATCGAGGTGAGGGAGGGGCATGGCGGGGGTCCCCTGGCTCCTCGGCGGGCCCCGCCCTCCCGGTTTCTTCTGCGGGTTTTCTGAGTTTGCAGTTTTGGCGTCTAGCTTCCTTTTGCTGTCGGTTTCCATGGCTGGGAACGGAATGCCAGGTGGATAAGACTTTAGTGGGCAGTCTGTGTGGTTCTCTGAGGGTTAGATTGTATGTTTTTCTAGGAGAGAAGAAAAAGTTAGGTTTAGATATAACCCAGGGTTAGGCTGGTGGTATTTGCGTGGGGATTATTCCGGGACGCTGAGATTAATAAATTTGTCGTTGTTGGGTGAAGGACCCAGTCATAGAGGTATCGATTCTTCTGTGAAGAAATTTGTCACGTGTTACAGGGCACACACAATAACTTTGGTTTTGAGCTAATTAGAGCCGTGATATAGTTAAAAACATGAAACTTCACTTCTGGTTTGCTTTTTGGCAGTATTTCTAATTATGTTCACATTCGCCCCAGCTCTCCCTGTTTAGTTTTTTAAACTGTGCGTATCGATGACTCCACAAGGAATAAGTTGGGATCTAGCTATATATGTCACTGGGATTGTTTTTTTTTTTTTTTTTTTTGAATATTTTACTTAGACATGATAGAAACACTCAACTGGGGGAAACGTTTTGATTTGTACCGGTGCACCAATCACTGAATCTTTATCCATCCGCAGTGCTGAAGATTGGTTGATAACAGAATGTAAGTATTGTGTGCTGTACAGTGTTAGACATCTACAGGACTTCTTTCATATTTTAGGGAGTTTTGTAGTTTGAAATGGCTAAGAGTGATGTTAAACAAGCTTTCTTTTGTTCTGCTGTATACATACATTTTGTGTACATATTTTAAAAATAGAGATTACATGGATGTGATTTAATTGGGCTTTGCCAGTCATTTTAGCTAAGGAGAATTTGTGCCCGTTTCCAGTTTAATTTACAATATTAACACTGAAGCAAGGTTGTTGCATTTTTAATGACACAGTAAGGGTTGTAGCTAGAGTGTACTTCTAAAATCTTTGCTTAGAATTGTTTTCAATGTGTTGACTAGAGCAAGTTAATAGCAAATGATTTTGGTGTATATTTTTATCTTTCTGTTTTTATCCTTGTGATGCTCCTGCAAATGTAGCTCAAATGCTCCTAAATGTAAAGCTCTGGCTTGGCCAGGTTGGGTACTAGAAAAGTTTTGATCACAGAATATTTTGGATTGCAAACTTCCAGATTAGGTATGCTTAATTCGAGAAGACCATACAAATATTCCAGAATGTTTTTAAAAAATCCTTACATGTGAAACACTTCTGCTCCCATCTGAGCCCTGTAGCAGCACTCAAACCTTGAGCTCTGCCTCTTTTAGATTTGGGAGTAATTTATTTCTCCGAAGGCTAGTTTCTTTATTTTTAAAATAAATAGAACAACGAGTTTCTTCTAAGATTTCATATAGTTAGAAGCAAGATAGTTGTGAGGCATGTCCTGTCAGCAGGAAATGAGAGCCAAGGATCAACTTGAGGTATGGCATTGAACTATTTATGAGTATTACAGTCCTTATTGCAAGTTTTAAGCTTTCACACTATATTAAGATCCTTACTGAGATGATAGTAAATATAACGGAATTCCTTCTAATTAAGCATTAGGAATTTAAATAATTTTATTTAAATAATGATTTAGAATTTTATATATTTACTAAATTGTTAGAAAACTTCTGGTACTATTTACTATACTATGAAAATCTTTTTAATTTTCTTTAAAACTTTTGGGTTCTGTAATAAAGTAAGATTCTGTACACTTAGTTACTAGTAAATAGAAGTTTTTAGGGCTCAGTATGATTTTAAGAGTGTAGTGTGGCGAGAGGGCAGGGAATGGTGGTGGTGGTTGTTTGTGTGCCAGCACTCAAGAGGCAGAAGCATGAGGATCTCGGTGAGTTCAAGGCTTGCTTGATCTACTGAAGGAGTTCCAGGATAGACAGGGCTACACAGAAAGTCTCTTTATCAAAACACCAAAAGTAAATAAACAAACAAATGAAATGGAAATAAAATGAAAATGAGCACCTCTTACCCAGTTTGATTCCTGTTCCTTTGTTTACATCTTTAAGTTTCTTTTTGAAAACTCAGTTCAAGTTTCTGGGGCAAAGGAAACTTGTAAATCAAAATGCTTGGCTCTAAGTGTTTTGCTCAAAACTTGAAAATTTTAAAGTAAAGCTAATGAACTTTTCCCATTCTCTCAGAATACCCTAGTAAATAGTACTACTCTTATAATGCCCCAGGCTCCCCTTTAAACAGGTGTTTATTAGAAAAGCTTTTTATTTATTTTATATATTTATTTTAATGTTCATATTAGTATCATTACTTTCCCTTGTTAAGTTTATGCATCTTTTTTTTTTTCCCTTTCTTCCTTTCTTTTTTTGAGACAGGATTTCTCTGTGTAGCCTTGGCTGCCTGGAATAAGCTCTGTAGAACAGGCTGGCCTTGAACTCCACAGAGATCTGCCTGACTCTGCTTCCTGAGTGCTGGGATTAAAGGTGTGCGCTGCTGCTGCTGCCGCCACCGCCCCCCTCTCCCCACCTGGCTAACTTTATGAATTGTATTTGCTTGATGTTTAGATTTTCTAAGTTAAGTAAAATGAGTATTTTAGAAAAGTATTGTCGATAATTTTATTAGCCACTAAAATAGTTTAATTATGAATATATTTATTAACACTTAGTATCTTTATCATTTGCAGCAAAGACTGAGTACTGCTTTTAATTTGGCAGAGTTAGGGGCCAAGCATTACCACAAGGCTCCTTTAGGACTCTTGGCCAAGCTGAGATACACAGCTAATTTGAAAGTACCATCTGTAACTTTTGCAAAATCATTTATCAGTGTGAAGTTAATAGTTGTAAATTAGTGCTTAGAGAGCGCTGTCAGGTATCCTGTTCCTATAGCCCCAGATATTTTGGGGAGGCTTGGGGTAAGAAGATTGTCTGAATCTAGTAATTTAGTGCTAGCTTGGGTGACATAGTATCCAAAAACAGTAAAAGGTAAACTAATTAATGGTGAGAGTCAAATGGGTGTATTATTTAAAGCAACATTTAAGATAGAAGATAGTCAGTAATAACTAGAGTATAAACATTTATGTGAAATTAATAATGCCAAAAATGTTGAAATCATTGGTACTTACCCCCACATTGTTAAATTCTCACCTTTCCTCTTTTTTTTTTTTTAAACCTTATTTCATTTTCTACACTGAGTTATTTTTGTCCTTATTATTTCCTGTTTCTGTTTCAATGATTAAAAATTTGGTGTATATGTTTTTACTGCTTTCTAGTTTGAATCCTTAGATTGTAAGGTTTTTGAAGGTTCATCTGCATTTAGTAAACTTAACTTCACTTAAACTTTAGTGTAGAATAAAAGAAGGACAACTTATTTCTTAGAAATGATGGTTAAAGATTAGGCATTTTATGTTAAGGAATTTAGAGATTGTAATGCTCAAATGTATTACAGTAACTGACAAGGGAACCTTTGGCATTTAAGAGCTTTGAGTAGTAGGGTTTTGTTGCCTGTAGTAAGTAACTGTTGGAATGTTCATTTTAGGGTCAGAAACTGAAACTGGTTTTCCAGATGAGCATCTTCAGTCAGTTTGGTTATAGGAAACACTAACTGAAATACCAATTGTATAGGATGCTTCCCTCAAATAATTAAGTTCTTTTAAGTAGAGCTATGTTGCTACCAAGAAATTGTATATGTTATGATTATATTTTGAATTTCATCAGCCAAAAAAGGTATAAACCCTTCTTTCTTTTTAGTCATGAACTTCCTCATTTTTCTCTGCGGCCTAAAATATTTATTTTTTAGTCTTTTATAGACCCCCCTCCCAATTTAGTGTTTTAAAGAAACATGCTGGTAAATTTAGCAGTTGCTACTAAAATGATTGTAATGATTGTGTTAAATTACTCATTGTAAGGTCTTCAGAAAATTCTTTAAGTATTTAAAATGCCCCCTTTAACTTAGTCTGATTAATACTTAAAGTGACTTATCTTATTAGTCAGCATTTTGTTATGTGACCCATTTAGGTCTTCCATAGATTTCCTTTTAGATAAATCTACATTCAAAAAATGGAAATTGTCCAGCTCTCCTTGTATACAGTGTAAAAATGCATATCCTTCAAATTCCTCTTTGTCAACACATGAAATTCAGTCTGTTTCTTAGGAATAGTGTGCTTTTAGAATTACTAAGAAGAAATGTTAAGTTGACTTAGGGGAATGTTCATAGTTGTCTGGGAACAAAGACAAGAAATACTGCAACTTTTCAGCTCATCTCCTGAGCCATACCTACCCTATACTGCCCCTGGTGCTTTGTCATCAGGATACAAGCTAGTTACAAAGTCTTAAACTTACTATCTTCTGAACTGTGCCTTATACACTATTGCCATTTAAAACAATGTTACTTTTCAAAATTATGAATTTGTGTTTCCTCTTCTACTTGGTAGTCTCTTAGACATTTAGAATTATTACTCCTGTGTAAACTTTTTTTTTTTTAAATTTAGAAACAGTCTTATTTTACGTATCAATCTCCCCCTTCCCTCGCCCTCCCATTCTCCCATGCCCCACATTAACCCTTCAAACCCCCCCCCCCCATTCTCCAAGGATAGTGAGACCTTCAAAGTCTGTTACATCATTTGGGTCAGGACCTAGGCCCTCCTTTGTGTATCTGGGCTGAAATAGTACTAGAATATTACATTCAGTTGGCAGATTTTATTAAGTTAAGCTCCCCTTGAGTTTCAGCTCACAAGAGATGTAGTGTTATTTGATAGCTATTGCGGTTAAATAAGGATCAGGATAAACAAATAGGCCGAATAGATGTTTATTCAGGGAGAAATAACTTACAACCTAGACAGATGAACACCAGGAAATTCCGCCCCATGCTCTCCTGTCTGAGTCACACCAGCAAGAGCTTTTCCCGGCTCTCTTCCCGACCTCCTTCCACAGGTCACTTCCGCCCATGGCTCCACCCCC